TATCGAGAAAAAACAAATTTAAAAGATGTTATCTATCACATATCCAAGCAGAGATGGGTTCAATTCTTACATAATATTTGAAACTAGTTCACTTATTACTATGAGTAAAAACCTTAAAGAATTATTTTATTTCAAAATAAATACAAAAGTCATATTGATCAGAAAGTTGGAATTTATGTTAACTTCAGCCGGATTGATAACTTCGTCGCCACTAATGAGATCTTCCTGGACGCATACCTGATCGGTATTGCATTCCAAAAATTTGTACCACCTGCAATGATATGTCATGTGTTTTAGTATATTAGTATATTCAAAACTTTATTTCGCCTTTTGTCTTAACCAAAAATAAATTATTCACGATATTATTATTATGATTTCTTAGTTGGCAGTTAATTTAAGCTTTATCTAATCTTTATTTTAAAAAGATCATTAATAATGTGTTTTGTAAGATGAAAACAGAAACTACAAGGCCTGGAAGTTGATGCCGGAAAATAACCTAAATTGCTTTCTTTCGTACTCAATAGAGACAATATTTCCATTATACAATCTCAGAAGCAGTATAAGGGTTCTATCTTCTATTTTTTGGACTGAATATGTCATACATTTAATCTTCAAAATAATATCAGTACTAATCGGTTTTGTAGTAATGAATTTTATATCCATTCTAATAGTTCATTGAGCGTGCGCAGACTTATGTTCATTCTGGGGACTTTTAAGTACAATCGAATCTATGTACTGGAATCATTGTTCTACTGTTGTGATCACAACCTAGATCAGTAGTTTATATGGCATTATATGACGATCATACCACAAGATTTTTATAATAATACTATATAACAAAGGAAGAATTAAGCACATCATACCTGTCATACACTTATTTCGGGCTCATTTTATGTCCAGCACTTAATCAGTAAAAGACTACAAACTTATAAAACTCTAAAATCTATAATAGGTAGTAGATAGTTCACAAAGTTAGGAAAGTTAGGGTGTCAATACAATGATTGATCACATGTAATGTCGTAATTCGCATAAAATTGTTAATACTTGCTCAGAATACTGTTTAGCTGGTTATTTGGAAATGACTTCACTTGAATCTCTTTTATATCTCAATTAGATATTAATAATTTAGCTTAGTCTACTCTAGCCCTTTGTAAAACAACTTGTCATTAGATTCTGATTAGCGTTTCAAATTCATTTATTAAAAGTTATAATCTTTACTATGAAATGAAAACATCCTTTATATTTTTACAACAAAAAAATTGTGAATATCTTTCTTTATACAGAAATTTGAAATATCTTAATCTTAATTGTCATATACTCATAAATCTGATTTTTAGTAAAGAGACGATGCGCAACTTTATTTCATTAAAAGATACAAGATATATTTATTTATGATTTATCTGAACATCAAGGAACTCTCAATTTATGCGCTTAAATGAATAAAGTATTCGAATTACTTTTACACCCCATAAATAAGTTCTAACAAATCCATTAATTATAAGCTACATCTGAGTAGAGATTTGAAAGGCTCTTTAGGTTCTTTATTGCATTACTGATATGGGCAACGAATTTCGATTTCACTTAAATTTAAGGATAATTTACGAGTACAGCAACTACGATTCGACACTATTCAATTTATATGCTATGTTGTTTTTACATTGATTTATCACCTCGACAGCGCAAAGAAATTTTATGCTGATTGTAACTGAAGTTGATTGGAAGATTTTCTTAACTACGTAAGAATCGAAGCACAATCGAAGGAATACATAGAAGCCACGTGCAGTTCTTATAGTGGCCGCTGTCTGAATTTGCCGCCAGGCACAAAAACTTCTTCTATAAATTGAAAGTGTTGTTCAAGCTGTCAACGTTTTTTATTTTTCCAATAAATGCAGGATGACTATATGCAAAGCTCAGCTTCCTTGTGCGCCTTAAATCAAGGTTTTGACAGCAAAGTACGGCTTACGCTTTAGAATTTCATGCTATTCAATAACATGTTGGCTAGTTTTTTTACAGAAAGGATTTGGCAGTCAAATCAAGTTGTCTAGTCGACGGACAGATTCTCTTTCAGATTAAGACCCTTTTGTCTGTGGCATTTGCAGGTAATACATTATATTAACGCCTGCCAGTCAGCCAGTCAGAATTGCATTAGTGCATGGCTGTGAATGGTATGGTTCATTAGTAGATTGCAAAATACATCAAGACCTCATCACTCTTTTCGCTGCAACAAACTTTAATGACTGCAACATAATTATATTCCCTACATGCTTATGTTTCATAGTATTTTGTTGCATACGCTTTTGAGTTGCTTAATTTCTGTAATTCAATATCATCTTTTCTTCCTTTTTGATTTGTTAAATTGGCGATCTGGTAGCTACTAATTATGAAAAAACTTTTTTTCATGTATGTTGTAAACATAAAATAAACTGAAATTATTGCCAGCCGTGTTGCTTTTTGATGACGCCTATTGTTGCTGCGATGTTTACTGTGCATGCATGCAACACATAACAGTCGCATGCTTCTGTTACCAGCAGCAGAAAGCAACACTGACTTCAGAGTTCTGTTGTTGAGGCTGATGTTTAGAGTATCAAAATGGAGTTGATGGTTTCTTCAGTAATGACCATGTTTAGTTTGGGTAGTAGTAGGAATGTACTTGATCATCGCCTGCTTGCTGCTTTTATCTTAAATGCTCTTTCCAAAGTTTATTGATTTGTAGGCTTTTGCATATACAAACCTTTTTGTTTTTACTATTTTCTTCCTCCCTTTTTAGAACATCTTTAATGACCGTTGATGATAGCCATAAGGAATCGTAAGCCATAACCTTAAAATTATGTTTTTATAACAGACATGAACGCATTGAGTTTATGATACTGAAGCTCCATAAGAGAACAACCTTAACTTTTTTTAAATTTGATTGAAGAAAAGGAAATGTCTTGTAATTCTGAATTAACTATATAACAAGGGCGAAAAAAACCTTTAATACATATTTATGATTGGTAAGACGTCAACTAGGAACTGCAAACATTTTGCATGGATGTGAATAATAAAACGCACACTACATCAATTGTTATAGTTAAGGTTCAAATAAGTAAATACTTGAATTCTTCTACTTAAATTAGTGCTATATATAAATTTTACAGAATTTAATTATTTTATTATAAAATAAAGCATTTCACTAAGCATCTCATCAATATTTAATTAAATAAAAACCGCTTACTTTTTTTTGTTTAATTCTCTTACAAATAACTAAACATGTCTTTGTATTCATCATTATATATGGTATATATGGTTTATGAACCAATATATTAGAACAGCGAATATAATTTATATTTAACATTTCATTAACTCAATACCTTTGAATGGCATTCCAAATATTACAAATCATAAGTGACTTTATTTCATATAACATGCCTTTGACATAAACGAATGCGTCAAGTTAATGCTACAAAAAGAATCAAGCATTATGACGATCAAGCAGCTTGATCGTATTCAAGTTTGAACATTTAGATCGAACTTATTTAAATCTCTACATCAGGGATGTTATATTATAGCTTTATCAAAGTGAGGTAGTAACACTTTCTATCATAATAGTGTTACTGAGGTAATATTTAGTAATGTAATGTAAAGACCTTTTATTTTAATAATACCAATACGATAGCATGACAGAACTTTGCAGATTATTTGCATATAATTATAATTTTTATTTTTGTATTTTGAAATGTGGAAACTACTCTTCTCCTGCCACTCTTCCTTTCTACGCTCAAGCATAGTAGGTCTCCTCCACGAGCTACTCCTAGTAACTTTGAGTTACACTATGTATACATAAGTGCGTTCTACCAGCAAATTTTCGAGTAAGTGGGAGCATCTGAGAGAACATAACATACCTTATGGGATCTCATGACTTAAACTTCTTTTGTGCCAGTAACTCCTAATCCATTTTATTAATATATTTAAGTAGTTCCACTCTAAATGAAATAGTTATTATCAGCACTTACAGAACATATATATATTGTGTGCCTAAAAAAGCTATTATACAAGTTGTATAAATTAAATAAGTTAAACTAGAGCTGAAACTCCACGTGCATCAATATTTGCAAACATATAAAAATGTATATGAAATAGCTCTTAACTTGTTCTTAATGTTCTATTTTTTTAAGTTCTTTAAGTTAACAAACTTCATAGAATTGTTACTTCTACAATTCCAATATACCATACTTAATTATCTGCAGTCACTATATTTACTCTTGCTGTTAGTTTAATAAGCTTCCATTTAAATGTTGCGAAACAAAATGCTAAACAGGCTAAATAGTCAGTAAACTTTTAAAGTTATACTAATAAACATTTCAGAAATAAAAATAATAATAAAACAAAATTATCTAACCAATCTTCTTTAAATTTTCTAGCTTTTTGTTAATTGGCAAAGCTAAAAATTATTAAAAAATGAAATTCTCAACTTGTTTTGCTGATAAATCCAAAGTCTGCAACATGTTGCGGTACTTTTACATTGCAGGCTACACAGTTTCTGCTTGGTGCTGGTGCTGGTGCTGGTCTGGTGCATGTCTACAAAATACTGCTGCAGTTTATTGCTCGAATCAGAGCAGTCCTTGCATGTCAACTTAGTTGGTTGAGTTTTGTGCTTCTTTGTTACATTTGTTGTTGTTGTTGTTGTTTATCTAATGCTATTTCTTGAGGCACAACCAAAAGAGAAAGGCTCTTAACATTCTTGACTATTTTATGAAAGTAGGCGATTGAAATGCAGATGCCTTTGATATTTGCTTCGTTAGCGTTCGAAACGAGCTTCACTCAAGTGTTTAGCAAATGTTTAGTAATTAACTTTAACGGAAATTTTTATTTGCTGCTCTTCTTTTTAATCCAAAACTTCTATCTTCCATTTAATAGATATACATAAATAAAATAAATGGATGTTATAATTTCATTGGCTTCATTTATCATAAGAAAAAATTCAATATATTAAAGTTTCAATCCATTTACCTCATTTACAGTTATTGGCCAACAAACGATACCAGCCGAACTACCAATTTATGGTGATCCAGACACCGAAATTGCGCTTGATCTAGTCTTCTCGAAGGGGAATCCAATATTTTTCTTGAATGGCAAAAAGTTGCAACTCTTGCAGCCGCTCGATCGTGATGAGGAAAACTTAAGTCACATTGTATTTCAAGTAAGTAAAATTAAGTAAAGCAGCAGCTCAAGCGCAAGACAAAAACTTAAAATGTTAATAAAGAATTTTAATATTAAAATTACCTGCCCATAAAATTGAAATAAGTAAGCTTGCCAATTACATGTAAAATAAATTGAACCCGTTATTTTATAGACGTGTGGGCGCTACTTGATTATAATTGATGGGTAGCCAGCCAGCTTAAGTAATTTTTACCGCAGTGGTTTTTTACAAGTGTTACTTCAGACCAACGATTTCTGTTTCAGTCACAGCTGAGCTATAATTAAAATGTCTGTCTCATGATACTCTTGTGTTGCTAGTAATCTTTCATACATTTTTATACATTTTTATACATTTTATTGCAATTTAATACTTTTTTATACTACTAATCTCTGCGCCTTCTTACATTTCTTGCTGCACATAGGTTTCCTGCACAATACGCTCCTCTGGTAAAAAACGCAACATTCCGATTATTGTTCGCGTGTCCGATGTCAATGATAATGCACCACGTTTCATGAACACGCCCTATGAGGTCACTGTGCCCGAGGTAAGTTACACAAATTTAACAACAACAAAAAAATCACAATATGGGAATGCTTAGAAAAAAATTTCAATTGAATTGTTTTATTAACTGAAAAAAATCGCTTATGGCAGAGTTTTTACAAATATGCAACAATGATTGCATTCTCGAAGGCATACAACGGAACTATTTTCAGAGTTGTGGGTGGCTTTTATTGTATAAATATGTAACGGTTTTACCGCCCACATTTTGGCATTACCTGAAATTTTGATGTGTTTAGGCAGTGATAAAAATCTTTGTTATTTATATAAAGAAAAATACTCGTACATATTGTGAAGAGAATAGAAATACGAGTGTGATTATCTTATGGGTATTTATAAATGGAAATATTTCAGTAACACCACAGCATTGAGAGAAAAATATTATTTTAGAATAAAAACATTGAATTGATTAAATAAAATTTAACAATAGTGAAAGCATAACATAATATGTACATAACATAAAATGACTGTTGCTTGACTTAACATGACTGCGATTTTAACAGCGAAACTGCGATTCTCGGGAAGAAAATATTATTATTCATTTTCATTTTTTGCTGCTAACAAGCTGCTTTATTTCTACTTACAAAAAGTGCAGTTTTGATTTCATAACAATTGTTTTCAGGTAAGTAAGTAGGTTGAAGTGGCGGCCTTATTTCCAAAAAGCCCACTTAACCACAACTGATGGCCCATTGTGGTATCACAGGAATAGCATTGGTACGTACATATGTTAGACTTAAATCAGTATACAGCCAACGTCGAAAGGAAAACCAACATCACAGGATGACAGCTCAGTCAGATCGCTGAGAAAAGGGGATCCGAAGATTTTTAATCTTCTTCTAGCTAAAGAAGGACACTGACACATAAGATGGAGCCATAACCTCGCCAAAAATCATTATAGGGCAAGGTCGCAGTGTCCCGGCAGCATAGATACCGTAGTGCTTAGCAGGTTTCGCCTTAGTTGAAGTAGCTGACCAGTTCGTTTCTTGTCTAGATTAGACCAAGTCAACCTAAGTATCTGATAATAAGGTTCATCAGCCCAGTATTGTTTGGCTATGCTCAGGTATTTTTGTTTACTTACCATTTTAACTGTAGCAAATGAAACACCTCTATCTGATAATCGTTATTAGTGTTTTAAGATATTTTTGGAACTGTTTGCAAAGTTATTTTTAAATACCAAATACACTTTAGTTGACCATATTTGGTAACTAGCACTTATTAAAGTTGTACACTTCCAAATTAATTACCAATGGTGTTATTATTATTGTTAGGGGATGTGGCACTGCGACCGTCGGGTCTATTGCGCTCCCTTCTGGGTGTAGAGTAGGTCTCTAAGCGCTGTTGCGTCAATAGAAAGTAGTGTATAACCATCTTTACAAAGTTTTATTGACTCTTTCGTAAGAATACACATTCTTGGGAGCCTATACCGTATGAGCAAATGGTAATAGTAACCTATTATCTGCTAGAGCTAAGTGGTTTTATCAAAGTTACATTACAGAAATACTTAATATGTTTTTACAATATCACAAGAATTGTTGACAGTTTATTTTGCTATTTGCTAAAGTAACAACTTAAAGTAGTTCATTTGAGTTTTTTATGACTAAGAAATTTAATATATCAATTTTTTATTCTTTTCTCAAATACCTTCTTCTACATTTAGCATAATTTCAGAATTTTTTCAATTGATTGGTGCTGCTAGACACTTAGCAACATTCTCGTACACATAAAAAGCAGTATCATTGCACAAGTGTCATGCGCCTCGTGTGATTACATGAAGTGACAGTACGTATGTTATGTACATCTGCATGAGGAAGCCAGTCTTCGACCTACTTTACCAAGTACCGCAATGTGTACATTGGAAGAGTTGTTTTTTCTGCTGATTATTGTAAACAAAAAAGTCGAACACATAAATAAGTTAAGAACGCACAAATAATGTTGCCGCGTGCTATTTACGGCAACATTCAACAATTCATTACATTTCCGTGATGTGTTTGTAAACATTTGTAGGTTTTGTGTGGTGAAGAAAGACCAAAGTAACAAATGTTCCAGTGTGGCTTTACTGTTAAAGTGTCAAAGGAAATGTTGAATTGTTAAATTGTTAAATAGTTAAGTCACTTAACAAACTATGCTGATTATTTGCAAACCGTTAATGAGCCATTTTTAATAGCTGTCAGAATCTGACTTTAACTGTTTCGTGTGTTTCGTAGTGGACAATCTTTTTGCATTTATAAAAAGTCTTATAAAAAAAATAATTTAAGCAAGAAAACGTTTTATCTTAATTTTAACTTTCTAACTATTTAACACAGTTGCAGAACAAAGATACACTTACCACTTTAAGGCTAATTCAATTAAAGTTTTAGTTTATTACTCCGTGGACTTCACTCGTACCTCAGTAACAGCTATTAAAACTTAATTGCACAAGTTGGCATATCAAATCTAGTCAATAATTAATTAAATAAATAAGCATGGTAATTTACATAAGCAGTGGTACTCCTTCATATACAGTAACTACTCAAGATATACAAGTATCTTTTGATACATACAGATCTATTGCTGTAGAAGTGTAAGCGAGTGTTTTGGTTAAGCCGTCATTTAGATGATATACATATATCATCTGGTGCATACATATCACCGAACATTACCACGTCTCTCAACCTTATGTTGATTTCTTCATCAATTTTTTTTTTCTTTCTTTATGTGTCTCAACACTCTTTTACGTTTAAAATTGTTTGTTTTTTTAACCAACAAATTTTTAAATAAACTTTTTATGACTTCTGTTAACGTTAATGCCTTTAGATTTAGTTATTCAACAGTTCCGCAGCAATAATTGAAGGTAAACTGCAATTTGCATTAAATTTATTTGTTTTATGTTTACGATGCATAATACTTTAAGTAATATTGCACTGTTAATAACAATAATAAAACAATTTAATTAAAGTTAAATATTGACAGTGTAGGTCTTAAGTTTTTTATTTTATGTGTAATTGTGTAAAAGACTAAATAGTTTTATTTTTAAAGCAAGACAACAGTATAAAATATTAGAACTATCATCTTTGTTAACCTAACTTCAGGCATCGACAAGTATTACTCTTGTTAGACTATTAAAAACTGTTACTAATCATAGAAAATATTTTAAAACTAACGAAGCACTCATTTTAAAGATTAAGCAATGTGTTGTATCTATGAATCTATCTATGTTAGGATCTATGAATGCTTTAACTCAATATGTATATGTATTGCGTTTATAGGCTATTAGGAGTCACACTAGGTCACTTTTGGGGTGTCATTTTAATAAAAGTTATTGGCTTAAAAATATTTAATTGAATATATTACAGCATCATGTTTTAGTATTGGCTTAAATAGGTATAGGAATAAACGGAGTACCAGTTCTCAATGGAGCGGAGCACTGTCACCATGATTGATCTTATCTGCTACAACAGACCCTAACCGAACAGAAGGCATTCCGTCTTCCGAATGAATGCCAGAATGTCGGCCGTGGAGAACCTCCTAATGTCAGAAGAGGAGAGTAGTTTTCCACCCAATGACCTCACAGTCACAGAGAATGTGACTGGAAATCTCGTCTGCTTCTAAGCAGAGTCGACAATCTATCTCTTCGGACAAACCCATTTTGTTAAGGTAATAACGCAGTCCATAGTGATTCGTTAAATATCCCACCAGCAACTTCAAATCAGTTCTATATGTAATTGAATATATTGTAGCATTACGTTTTAGTAGATAATTGAAGTTCTTCACACAGGTTTCCTCACACATCACCTTTAGCATAATATTCATCAAGTTTACAACCCTAATTGTTTCAAGCCAATCAAAACCTTTTTACTTTCTTTAAAAAAACAAAGTAATTGCTTAATTAACATAACTTTTTAAATAAGTTAAAAGAAAAAACCCTTTTAAAAAAGTTTGCGAGATTATCTTGAAATAGTTAATGTAGTTTTCAAAGCTGTTATAACCACAATATTTTTTTTAAAAGAAATTTTTTTTTCTCAGAATTTATTTTCCATGTGATGATTGAGTCTACAGTATCCTTTAGGTAGTTCAGTGTAAAGTTTAATATCATTTCTGCTAAGGTTAAGGATAGCTTTGACTTTGATGTGTTCAAGTTCAATGAATCTTTTTGATAGCCGGATGCCTGTTTAGACTGTGTTCAAGAAAACATGATAGCCGGATGCCTGTATTCAAGAAAACTACGCTTCTCCCGTTCACATAGTAAGTTATTTCTGAAGCTATTTATAATCACGTAGAAAAGCTCTGGACCAATGAGAGGAGTACATGCAACCTTTTTCCACTACGAAGTCTACCATTTCATCGCTCTATCATCATATAGTATTATGTATATAATTACTATATTAGGTATACTTAGTAAGAATAGGACTTGAAGAAAAGATTAAATAAAAATTGTATTACTGACCAGTTGTCTACAAATAAACAGTTCATACAGAGACTTTTTGAATAAGAATAATAACGATCATACCAGCCAAAGAAGCTCACAGAAGCTTCTACTGAAACTGCTTCTTACGTTAATCTCCAAAAATCGACTTTCCATTTGTTGAATTTGTTGATGTTATGAGTTAAAAATAAATGTAGCATATTTAATATATTTGACCATGATTTCCTTTAACAATATTTATAATAATCCATGAATAGGAAGATAAAATTGTAACAATTATAATATTTCTTTAGTTTTTTATTTTACTCAATAAATGTATTTTCTTCTATTACCTTTCAAACGGTTATGGTTTATATCAACCAAGTAAAGCATATGTCTTCCTGAAAATTATTTGTGAACATCTTTTCTTGATTGCCATAAAATATTTGACATACAAAATGCAGGCTTCGAAATTTGTCTCTGCCTTTGTCTCTGCTCGTTAATCGATAATATTACAACCACCTTGTATCTGAGATCAACAACATATGATTGCAATTTAAATATGTTTAACGGTGACAGTAAATTTAAATATTGCAAGCGGACGGATACAAATACCAACGGCAGCAACAATGCGACAAAACATTGGCCACGACATGCAATTTGTGCAGATGCAACCAAGTGAAATACTTAAAGAGGATTTCGTTCATAAATTATTCATATTGTTTCAGTCACCGGGAATACGAAAAATATCTACAACATGCCACATTGAACAATTTTTTATATTGTTTTTGCAGTTGTTCAACAAACTTTTGCATAAAATCCTAACACACAAATGCCGCACTCACGTCCGAGAGGAAAATCAAAGAAGCTAGCTCTCCCTGCCATATGCCATAAAGTTTATCGTTATTGTAATTTATATGCCACCTTTTGTTGTTAATTTATCTGTGGCATTAATATTGTTACCATCATTGTTGTTGCTGTTGCTGTTGTTGTTGTTGTTGCTGGTATTGTCTCTGCGCAAAAATGTGCTGCCGCCTTGGTAGCAACACTAAACGCATGTTATTTGTATACATTAAACTTTTACCAATCCTTTTCTGGATAAGATACGATAAGCGACTGAACAGTGACATAGTTGAAAACCACTTCAAAGGAGCAAATGTATTCAGAGTCCACTCACTTGTCTTCAACGCTTAAGTACTGCATCTTCAATTTCACTGCTAAGCCGATTTCCTTATGCCGCCATCGTGTGTTTAATGATGCTGCGATTGTGGGTGATGATGTCATGACACAGTTGCATAGAAACCGATCCTTTCGATTTGATAAAGCCTATAATTTATGGTTCAGCATGGCAAATTGTGTAAAATACTTGACAGGCTCATTTATTAAGGGCAGTGCTGAGGAATTTGCTTGAACTTGAAGACTAATGTTTAAAGCTGGAATTTTCAATGATCTTTTGAAAATTTATAATATTTGAGTAAAAATAATTTTTTATTAATTTTAGAATTAATTAAATATGCTACTGTCACTACTGTAAAATGTACAGAAGAATGATTATTATTATTTAACAACAGAGACCACTATGAGGTGTAGAACCATCGAACAACCATTGTGTTCTGTATAATTATGTAGAATATTGTTAAATTGTTTACTGTATGACTTTAAAGCAACTTTTAAAACATTTTCGCGGCAGACCAACGAACCAATAATTACTCGAAGGACTCTATGTTTATTATTGGCGTAAAAATCATCATTTGCGTTAACGAAGATATTGTCTGAAACTATTCATATCGTAGTCCATACTTGGCAGCAGTATTTCAATAACATATATCAAAGAAAACGGTCATCCAAGACTTCATTTGTTAAGTGTAAGTGTCAGGTTTTACAATATGAATCTTCTAACAAACACTAAAATTGTTTAAATTGCGAAAATCTACTAACAAAGTTGGTGACAATTTTTCTCATTGAATTTTTATATTCGATTTACAACTGTGGAATATATCAACAATTAACACTGTTTTAGGGACCATCCAAAAGCAGCTGAAAGTCCACTTGAAATGACTACATAATATAGCATTTGATCTGAAGGTATGATACTCTCGTTAATTGAAAATAACAAAGTTTAATCAATAAAAATATATTGTATCACATCTGCTGTAAATTCTCTGTTTTAATCGCTACACCCACATAATTACCAATATTTTTTGCAAGAAATTAAAAATATGTGCGTGGAACAAATCTAGTTTGAACAAGACAGTGTCACAACGCATATAATACGTCCCATTGTGACTTTGTTACACGAAACTATAATGTCACGTTTTGCGCTATGAATTAACAATCAATATCATTTGATGGGCCTCAATAGTTTTCAAGTTATGGCCGTAATATTGCCAATTAAATTAGTGCAAATCTTCGGAAATTACCTCAAAAAAATCCATTTGCTGAAAGGTTTCGTAGAGAATAGTTGAATGATGTTGGATTTCACACCTAATGGCACTTATCTTAAAATAAAAGATTTTATTAACATTTTCGGAACCATAAAGTAGATAACCCTGTCTTAGTTCTCGATATCTCTGGAACTAAAACTTTGTAAACATTTTTATTTTTAAAATGCTTAATAAATTTATTATCGTATCGTTATAGATTTGTTAGTATTAAAAATATTCCTGACGTTAAGAATACAAAATTGTGAATCGTTCTAGAAAATTGTTTATTATTACTTAATCACGAGAACAAAATCTGAAGGATTTGCTATTATA